AGCAGCGGTCATGTTGGACCTTGCGGGATGTCTGAAAAGGAGTCCGATCTCCTTCATTGTTGCTTTATCAATCAGAATACAAATGAACAAAACAAGAAAAACTTCCTTGTCATTCTACCTAACGTTGACCAGTCATGTGATTTTTCAAACCCTAGGGATGATTTTCCAAGCTGGATATATGAACCAAGAGCAGGAAAAGTAATAATAACTGAAGAGGTTCTTCATACATACATAGTAGCAGCTGCGAAATCAAATTCTCATTGCCGTCTTAGAGTAATTTAACTTGTACAATGTATAGGGTTAACCGTGCCATGCTTACTCACTCTCTCTAGTGAGTGCGCCACAGTGTACAGAAAACCACACTGTACAGAAAATATTTTGAATATAGTGATCTTCAAAAATTAATTAATAATCATCATCACATCTATCTATAACATAAAGATTATCTATATACTCATTAGAAGGTGTAGAATTCACTGTAGATTAAGATTCTATAGAATTATCTTATTATAATTAAGTAACTGTAGATTTTATAGATTTGATTTCAATTAACTGAAGATTCTTATTAAACATCTTTTTCATCTTATCTGCTCTACAGATTATAATCTTGCAATTGGCATTCTTAATAATGAGAACTTCATCTACTTACTCTTGGAGGATAACGTTGTTGTGTTGTGTTGTAATCTAACTACGCGAGTTACACTAAATGGATAGGTTGGGGTGGCACGTGACTAGGGTAGGTGTAGTAATCACCAACACCCCCCCTTGCTACACCATGGCCTATAATAAGCCGCCACCCGGGGCCTCCCTCATCCTCAAATCTTTCAAAAATGCAATAATAATTAATTACATGAATCGGACCCTGATTTCCTCATTAGGAAAGGTGTCTGTACAGCAATAACCATAAAAATCAAGAAATACATGCAAAATCCATTGATTCACTGTATCATTATTATCATTCAATCATTCCTTTCTGATCTCTTTCAAACCAATCCTTTTGATAAAATCTTCAAACACAGGCTTCGCCAGTGGCTTGGTGAGCCCATCAGCTATGTTTGCTGTAGAATCAACATGTTTCATCATGATTTCCCCTTTTTCAATCAAATTGTGAAGAATATGATATCTGATCTCAATGTGGTGCGATCTTCGCATTAAGAATTCCCCCTTTGCTAGATCAATTGCTCTCTTATTGTCAACTCATAGATGTGAGCATATTTTCACTTTTCCATCATTCATCAACTCAGCATCATATAACATATCATTCAACCAGATTATCTCACAAGCTGTCTCACTAGCTGCAATATATTCAGCTTCTGTGATTGATTTGATGATAGATGTCTGTCTCTGTGACTGTCATGAGATCAGTGACCCATTAATCAATATAACATAGCTGGTAGTCAATTTGTATTGAGGATCCGCCCCCGTCCAGTCTGAATCACAGTATGCCACAGAACTCAGGTCCACATCACCGATCTCCTTTCTGTATAATATGCCATGGTTTTTCATCTTCTTGACATAACATAGGACATGCTTCAACACTGCCCAACATGCCTTGTGTGGATGCGAGTTAAAACGCGAGAGATAGTTGACTGTGAATGCCAGATCTGGCCGGCTGCTTGAGACCAAATATTGCAATGATCTCAATCCTTGACAATATCTCATAGCTGTAAAGTCATCATCCAATCCCCCCTCCTCATCAGGTGAGAATTCCAGTCATATGCCGGCTGTCATCGGGGTGCCAGCTGGATTTATCTTATTCATGCCAAAATCTTCAAGGATCTCCTCAATATAATGGCTCTGTGTAATCACTAGATCATCATTCCTCTGGCATTTGATCTTCATTCTAAGATATAGCTTGGTCTCTTCAACATTCTTTGTCTCAAATCTCTTTACAATCTCTCTCAATACTCAGTCTAATTGCTGTTCTTGAGATCCTGTCACCTGACAATCATCAACATGCAATGTCAGATAGATCTTGCAAACAGAGTGATATAGAAATCTGCCATCATAAGATAATATCTTAAATCTCAATGTAGTCAGATGCTCTGTTATGAGGAAATATCATATTCTTACAGCTTGTTTCATTTCATATAGACTCTGGCAGAGTAATCTCATCAAGCTCTCCCTGTCATGCTTAACACCTGTGAGCAGTTGCATATAGATCATCTTGTTCTGTGATAGTATATCATTCAAAAACATGAATACATAGTCAATTGATTTGATCTTTCATTCTTTGACAGTTGATATAGTGAATAGACTGCACAATGTAGGCCCTGATACCACTGCAGCATACAATCTCATATAATGAATACCCTGCTGTTGTAAGAACTCTCTAACCACTCAGCAAGCTCTAAAGCAGATGATTTCTCTCTTATTATTGAATTTCCAATTATATACTCATTTATCTGTAAGAATATTCATTTCTGAGGCCTTCTCAACAACAATATATGTCTTCTTCTGTTCAAATATCTTAATCTTCTTTTTCATTGCTTCATATCAATAGTTCCAGTCTGGGCTTCTCTTGACTTCCGCCAGTGTAGTTGATCAGTCTGTCAGAACACTTAGAACAGAATCATTCTCATTAACAGAGTCTTTGAACTCTTCATTCATGACAAGCTGTGTCTCATCATCTAGAAGATAGATTGAATCAATTGCTCTCTCTAAGTTCTCATTAACAATTATCTTCAAAACATCTGACTTTTTCTTTATAAGTCTTCTTAGAAGGCAGTGTTGTCATCCCTCTCTGACATTCAGAATGTCCAATTCATTAGATAATTCATTGAATTCCCTCACTGTATTTACAGGTGTATTTGCACTCATGTCAAGAGCTTCATCAAATATGACATCTCATGCAATCTCAAGACAATGTGCAACAGGATTCCACACATGATATTGATGTAATTCTTGGTATTCAATCAGCTGTCATTCCCTGCTGTCAGTTCTATCCATGAGCTTATTCAACACTTTCAAATCCTTCTTGTAGACCTTGCACCCTCATCTCTGTATTCAATGAACAGAAGGTTGCACCTCAGTCCATGCTTTAAAAGGTGTAAGTGATGTTCCTTCCTTACATTCAAATATCTTCATTGATGTTGAGAATGTGTTGATCATCATGACTGCAGCTTGCATTGCCTCATCCCAGAGCTCTTTCATCAGCTCACTATTAAATAGCAAGCTTCTTGTCTTCTCTGCAACTATTTGATTCGCGCGTTTCACTAGGTCATTTGATTGTGATGTATCAGATATAGTCATTTCATATGCTATTTCTTTGCTCTGGCAGTAGGTCTTAAGTTCTTGACTTTTGAACTCTTCTTCATCATCTCAGTGTAGGATTCCAATTCAGTGTTGAGTAGTGGCCTCAATTCCATTAATAAAGGTCATCAAACATGCAGTGATCTCACTCTTTGACATCATAAGAATAATTCATCTGTAGCATGTAGCATCATCTGTAATGCTCATTCAATAATTAGCTTTCTCTTGAGTAGGGAGGTTGGCTTCATCATATAGTGTGTAGCTGTCACCTGCAAGGTCTACAAAGAATCTCATCACAGGTTTGATAGTTCTTGTCATTGATGTAAATATTGAACATGTCATTTTTGCCTGTACACAGGTCTTGCAGAATGATAAAACTCTGTCACTCTTTATTCTCATTTCTAGTCATGGATCTGCCGCCATTTTTGTGATATTCACAGAATTCAGATGTCCTAGCTTTTGATATCATTGCATCATTGTAAGTTCTATAACCTTTGTGTCATTCCTTTCAGATAGTGTCAATATTGTGTCATCTTTCACCTGTAACATGTTCACAGGTTCAAAATCATCATTAAGTATAGCAAACTGAATCAAGTCTCTATATGTAATCAGCCTTTTCATCTCATAGATATCATTCTCATTTAATCTTACTGTAAATGAGAATATGCAGCCAGGAGATATAATCAACATAGCATGATTATTCTCATATGTCAACTGCTTATAGGTATAACCCTGATGTACAAGCTTACTCATACTCATGAGATTCACTTCTAACTTTGAGACATAGCAGACATCATTTAACAGCATATTCACTTCTTTCACTGAAATCTTTGTATCTTCTATAGCTGCAGCAGAGATCACTGTTTCATCTGTCATTTTCAACATCACTTTCACCTTCTGAGGTTTTGCCACAACAAGATTCCTGTGAGGTGTGGCATGAGTGTCTGATTCAGAGTCTAGAATCCAGGTATCTTTTCCTGTCTGACCACTCACATAGGCCTTTTCTTTGATGCAAAATACTTACTTCATGACATTGTGAACAGGAGCAGCACCTGTATTCTTCACATCCTTGTCTTTATTCTTGTTTCTATTTATATTGGAGTTCAAAGAATGTTTCTCAGAGTATTTCTTTCAACAGTCAGTCTGAATATGACTAATCTTTTGACAATGATAGCAGGTCTTCGCATCATTACCTCTACATTCAGGTTTGAATTCAGTGTTCTTATCCTTGTCATTGTCTTTGTCCTTGCCTTTCTTATCCTTGTCTTGAGTGTTATTCGCGGGATTTTTTGTGGATTCAGTACTACTATTTTCCACAGTAGAAAGGCATAGAAGTATGTTACAGTATAACCTCATGAAGTCTTCTTCTAAAGGTCTTGAATTATTCTTATCAATCTGGTTCATTCTATTCTTTATGAAGAATGCTCAATCTCTATTGACTCCTGTCAGCAGTCTGTTGAAAAACATGACATTCAGAATCTCATATTCTAGACAGATATAATCAGTTCTTATAATAATCAGACATTCAATGAAAGCGTGATCTGAGCCTTTTAACTTAGCAGTCATGCTAATCAGTTCCTCAAACAGACAGGTTCTGTGAACAGCAGGTCTCTCAGAAAAGTTATTCTCTATAATAGTTCATAGAGCATAAGCAGACAACTTGAATTTCTTGAGTATAGTGAAATGAGTCTTGATCTGCAGAGAATTGCAGATCACATGTAATTGTATAATCAAAGATTGCATTCTTTTCAGAAACATTGCATGTTCATGATGACATTCTTATCAAGATCATTATCTTCAAGAATATCATCAGTTTCAGACTGTTCTGCAGTCAAAAGAATTTCCTCTCTCTACATTGAGTAGTTAATGAATCCAGTGAGAACTATTAATCTTTTGATAAGTCTTACTTGACTTCTGAATTCTTCAAGAACTTTTATTATAACAGATATCTTCTCTTTCTGTTGAAGATATTCTGTCAGGTCTGCTCTCATCTCATCATCTGCAGGGTCACCTCTACTGATCTTCATTCACTCAATCTCATGCTGAAGTCTTGCAATTTCTAGTCTCATGTGAGTCTTCTTACTCACTGAGCTATTGTCATTTCAGTCACTTAGGCCTCCTGCATTGTCTGACATCTCACTGATGCCTTCAACCAGGTCTTCATATTCATTGTTAAACTCATCAGATCATTCTTTCACAATCATGTCATTCAGCTCAAACACTCCAGAAGCTGTCTTTCAATTTATTATTGACATTGACAGTGATCTGTGATCTTGCATTTGCTGCTCTGACATTTTCTCATTTTTTCATCTTGAAGGCACATATTCTTTTGTTAAGTCAGGCGTCCTCTCAGATCTTAGATTAACCATGGGTTCAATCACTCAATAAATCATCTAGGCACACTTGTAATGACGCGTGGAGATGTCAATTGCACATTATTTTGCAGCTTTTCATTGTGTAGAGAGCTTTATAACCTCTTGAAGAATAACATTGTTGTGTTGTGTTGTAATCTAACTACGCGAGTTACACTAAATGAATAGGTTGAGGTGGCACGTGACTAGAGTAGGTGTAGTAATCACCAACACTTACATCTGTCTGTGAGAGAATTTAATAATCTGATGTCTATTTACTTAATAATGATCTGCAAGTTCACTCTCATAGTGTGTATTCAATTCTGTCTGAATTATGCTACTTTTGAAGATCTTGTTCAATTATCTTGTAAAATCAGATGTAAGAATATTCTTCATATCTTCTAAGAAGATTATAATCTACTGTTCATGTTCTTCTTCTTCTTCTTGAAATTCAATCTCATCAAAGTTGTAGATATCACAGTGAAAAAAATAATATTAATTGAAGACAGCTTCATATCAATCAAATCAGTTAATAATGAAGCTTATATTCTCATAAGATATCTGCTTTAAATTCATGAGCTTTTACTTGATCTGTTTATAATCTGACAGATGTTTAATGAATTAATATACTTATATCTTGTTTACTGTGTGAGGTACAGTCTCTGAATCTATATGATACTATCTCAACATGCAGTTCACAGTGACTTTGATATACTTGATAATAAGCAGGTAAAAATTAATATTTAACTGATGAATTTATATTTTAATTATCTCTTTCTGACTGTCATTCAATACTCTATTCAGTGAAATTCTTATAGTTCTTAATTTCTTCTCATTGATTCTCTTATATAAGATAATATATAAGACTTTGAATTCTTACAACAGAGATGTGATTTTTAATTTTAAATTGCTTTTTATATATTAACAGCTAGACTGACCGTGTGACCGTGTCTGAGATCAGAACCAGAATTTTTGATAGTTTTATTATCAATTTGACTGATCTCATTACACAGTTTTAATATTAAATAGTAGTCTCATACTGTCTCAGTGAGACTTACTGTCTACTCTTGTCACATTTTTCAAATGAGATTGTGGCGGGTTGCGCCTGATTAATTATATAGACTATTCTGTTACACTTCACAGATTTCTACCGTTCTGATTCTCAGTCGCTGATTCTGAGTCAAAAATCTACAGAATTTCTATTCTTTCACTCTGAAGCTTCACTGTGTACATCATCACATACATGTATAAATATTCACTTTAATCACTGATTTTCACACTTTCTCTTTCTTTTCTTCTCTAATGTTTTTCTCTTTCTTATATAAGATCTATATATTATACTGATCTATTCAGTGTAGGTCTCTTATACTAGAAAAATATTCATCATCTTCTTATTAGAAATGATTATTCATATATCATCTTCTTATTAGAAATGATTATTTATCAAGAAGATATTTGAATATGTAACAATATATAAGAAAGAGAAACATAGTTAAGCAGACACTGAGTTCTCAGATAGAAGCTTACTTATCAGTTACTCTGACTCTGTAATAAGATCTTATAAGAGAATATCAGTGAAAGATCTGAGAGTTCTGACATCTCAGATATATAAGATATTCATATAATTACACTTCTTTAGATACTACAGATATCTCATATCTGATAAATAACATAATCATGTCTAATGATAATATGAGAGAACTCTCAAACATAAGTATAGAAGTGATATTACAGTGATTCTAAGCAATGTTGAAATTACAACAGTAACAGATAGCTGATATGCATATAACTTAATAACTTCAATATAAGAAAATTTAATAATTAACTCAACAAGAAACTCATACAATTTCAACATCTACAGAATCAAATATAAAAGCACTGAAAGAATACTTAGATACTCTTACATATTTCAATACTTCTGATCTCACTCTCTACTCATTATGAAGAATGAAAATACTTGTAAAACTAAGTATAGATGAAGATATCATCAGTTTATTAATCAATCAAGATTGATATATCAATGAATAATTAAAGAATTGCATGAAACAGAAGTTTCATTCATGAATAAAAGCATGTAAATCAGTGTTGTGAATGCCTGACAATATCATTAAATATCTTAATATTCTGTTTCAAGATACTGCTATGCAACAGAAAGCATTAGATTGATTACAGAGTGTTTAACAGAGAAATACTTCTCTCACAACATTCATTCCTGACTTTGATATCAAGATTCTAGAAGTAGATGATCAATCTTGAGAGAATTGAATGAAGATTAGTATACTCAAGAAGACATTAACTTTTAAACTCTTACAGACTCTTGTAAGTGTAGATAAAGATCAGACTTATGAAGATTTCTGTATACAACTCTAAACATTGAATAATCATCTTATTAAGCTTAAAAGTATATAGAACAGTAATAGAAGATGTTACATTTATACATCTGTGCTGAGAAATAACTCAGTCACTCATACACCTGTGTCAAGAAATAACAACAATAATGCAGATGCTATGAACTGAGTAGACTCAAATGTCTACATATAAGCAAGAGTCTTCACTGTTTAAACAGGCTTCTAAGTTCCTGGGATCACCCCTGAAGAAGTCACTGATTGATATCAATGAGAAGTATACATCAACTGTAACTGATTAAAATATATTACTTTTAACTGCTGATCAGTCTATATATCTTCTCATTTAAAAGAAAGATCAATGCTGGCAGTTCATATCAATCATGTTATATTAGAGAAAGATTTAGAAGATAACTATAAGAATACTCTAATGAAACAGGAAAAAGATTAGCTTCTGTTCAAATTTATAAGCAGAAGCTTGAAGAGATCAGATAATAATAATTTAAAGAGAAAATAACAATGAATGTGATTCTTGTATCTACTATAATAGATAACATGTATAATATAAAAGCTATGATAGACAGTGATCTATGCTATTATACAATGATTAAATCTTTAGTTATAAGATATTATAATCTTCAGCATATTCTCTTATCAAAACCTCAACTTCTTACAGAATTTGATAATTCAAAGAACATTTATACTTATTACATGATAAAACTAGACATAGATATCAGAGAATATCAACACAAAGATATCTATACATATAAAGTTAATAATCTTGATTATAATCTTATATTAGAACTTATCTAGCTATCTAAATAAGACATCTTACTGAACACTTAGAACAGAAGCTTAATATTCTCTAATAATAATAGAATTTATAAAGATAATATTTATAAAATTATGAATCTGACACAGATCTCTATCAATATGTATGAAATACTCTGAAAAAGAAGTCACTGACAGAATCACTGATAAGATCACTGATAGCAGAATTATATAGTAATCTACTTCATCAGTCTGACTGATATTAAAAAGACTCTAGAAAAGTTATTCTATATTATAATAACAGATTCTCATATAAAACTTTCTCAATAATATTATGAATATCTAGATATCTTCTGATAAGATAATATTATAAATATATCTCTCTTACAAGACTCAGAAGTGAATCACAGTATTAAGTTAGAAAAGAAAAATGATAAAGACTCTGAATTATTATATAACTCTCTTTATAACATGTTCTGAGATAAACTTCTTCTTCTTTAAAAGACACTTAATAATCTGTTAAATAAAGAATTTATATATATTAGTAACTCTTTCACTGCAGCCTCTATTCTCTTTGCAAAGAAATCATATAAAGAACTCTGATTCTGCATGAACTATTGAGAACTGAATAGATTAATAAAGAAGAATCATTATTCTTTATCTCTTATCAATGAAACTCTAGCTTGTATTAAATAAGCTTAATAATTTATAAAGTTAGATGTCATTACTGTGTTTCATAAGATTTACATCACTGAAGAAGATGAGTGACTTACAGTATTTCAAATATAATATAATCTCTTTAAATAAGTAGTCACACTCTTTGAACTGGCTAACACTCTCAGTATATTTCAGAAGTATATTAACTGAGCACTCTGAGATTTTCTTGATGAATTTGTATCTGTATATCTTTATAACATTCTCATCTTCACTGATAAGTTTAAGAAAGAATATCAAGAATATGTATAAAAGATATTACAATAACTACAGAAAGCAGAACTACTGATAAATATAGATAAATATAATTTTAAGATTAAAAGTACAAAATATCTAGACTTTATTATAGAAGCTGATAAGAAAATCTGAATGAATTCTGAGAAGATCTTCACTATTCTTAAATAAGAGATCTTATACACTGTGAAAGATGTACAAAGCTTTATCAGATTTACTAACTTCTATCAGTAATTTATATAGAACTTCTCAGATATTACAAGATCACTTACAGAACTCACTAAGAAAGACTCAGTATTTCAATAATCAGTGAACACTGAAGCTGTATTTATATAAATAAAGAAGATATTTATTAATACTTCTCTATTGATAATATTCAATTCTGATTATGAAATAGTTGTTAAAGCTGATTTCTCTGACTATATTATAGAAGAAGCTATATTACAATATGATAATAAAGATATCTTATAATTATATATCTTCATATCTAAAAAACTAAGTCTCACTGAATACAATTATAAGATCTATAACAAGAAACTTCTCATAATTATACACTATCTGAAAGAATGAGACTCTGAACTCTGAAGTATCTCTGAATTTGAGATAATCATAGATTATAAGAATTTCAAGTACTTCACTACTATCTATAAACTCACTGAATAACAGATGTGATAATCTGAGTTCTTAAGCTACTTTCATTTTACAATATACTATCATTCTGACAGTTAGAACTTAATAATAGATACTCTCTTATAATAAGAGTAAGATATGCCTTTTAATATAATAGACACTTATTGAATGAACTGAGAACACTGACTCTTAGATCTGAAGATATTGATTAATCAAGATGAAACAGCTTATAGCACTATACATACTTCTCTGATTAGAACTACTACTAATATCTCAACTTCTTCTGAATCTATATTAGATGAACTATAATATACAGTAGCTCAAACTGATAAACTTCTTCAAGCACTTATTAAAATAGTATAATAAGAAGTACTCTGATTTTCTTCAGAACTATATATAAGAACTGATATCTCAGAATATTTAATTGATAATAATAACACTTTATAATTCTATAAATAATGCTGAGTCTCTCACTCTGAACTCTTACACACTCAGATAATACAAGAGATGCATGACTCTTATATAATTAGTTATTCAGGTCATGAATAACTGTATTAAATAATCTCTTAAGAGTTCTACTGATCTGAGATATTAAACAGTATCAGATATTTCATCTGAAACTGTAACTATTATTTCTTCATCATCTTATAAAAGAATTATAGAAAAAATCTGCTGAAACTACTTGATATCTCTGATAGAATCTGATAAGATATAATAATTAACTTCACTATTAATCTTTCTAAGAGTAAGAACTGTAGAAATATTCTGATTATTATGAATTAATTAAGTAAGAGTATAATATTGAAACTCTGTAATAAGATAGATACTGAACAAGTCACTGAAGCTTTTCTAAGAAGTCTATTTTATCAGATATATAAATTACTGAGATCTATAGTATCAGATCAGAATTATTAATTCATAAGCACTCTCTGAATAAGAATCTGTTAAGTTCTTAAGATTATATATTATTTGTTAACTATCTATCACTCTGAGACTGATAATGCATCAGAATGAATAATTCAGACTATAAAGAATTATCTTTATAAGTTCTGTAACTACTTATAAGATAATTAATATAATCTTCTTCTATATACTGAAATTACTATTAATGACTGAGATGCTATTTTAACAGATGTAAGTCTGTTCTTTCTTACACATAGATATTATATAAAGATATTGAATCTTCTAAAGATTACACACTTTATATTAAATCTCTACAGTTTAATTCAGATCACTGATAATATAGTGATAAAGCTTTAAAATATCTATGACTGAGCAGAAGCCTTTATAATAAGTATTAAACAGAATTAAGAAAACTGAACTAATGTTTATCAAGATCTCACTGAGTAATACAAGATAGAAGATCTGATATAATTGAATCTTAAGAGTATATAAATCACATACTCATCTCATACACTGAATTATTACTATATTAAATATAAAGTGATAGAAGTTCTAGACAGTTATAATTACTATTTTAATATATTATCAGAGATTTATAATATCTTTTATACAAGCTTGTTTCACTATATTATCACTGATCTGTTCTCTTCTTCACTGACTTTCAATTAACAGTTATCAGAGATTATAGAAGAAGATAATAAACTTAAGTAAGAGATTAAAGATATTCTTGATAAGAGATCTCACAGTTATAACTAATAATATCTTATGAAATAGATCAGCTATAATCACCTGATCTGAACTCTGAGCTCTGTGTTATCTGAGATAGTAGCTTTTAACTGATGAGAATTATATGCCTGCAATTCTATATCACTTCTGAAAAGAAGAAATTAATGTGACAGACTGTGCTTAATTAATTATATAGACTATTTCATTACACTTCACAGATTTCTACTATTCTGATTCTCAGTTGTTAATTCTCAGCTGAAAATCTACAGAATTTCTATTCTTTTATTCTGAAGCTTCACTGCATACATTACTGTGTATGTGTATAAATATTCATTTTAATTATTAATTCTCATACTTTCTCTTTCTTTTCTTCTCTAATGTTTTTCTCTTTGTTATATAAGATCTATATATTATACTGATCTATTCAGTATAGATCTCTTACAGAGATCATGATTTTCACTTCTTAATTTAAATTATTTTTATTACTTTAAATGACTTTAAATCTTATTTAAGCATTATTAAAAAGCATTACTTTTTAAAAAATTAAAAATAGTCTAAAAAAAAACCTTAAAATGTCTAAAAATAGTAACTTTATATCAAGAATGAGACTAAATGAGATCAAATGAGATCACTTTCTCATTTTTTTCAAGTCATGATTTCATTTTGAGATTTGATATATAGTCACTTTGCATGTTTTTTTAATGACTAGTCCCAGCAGGATTCACGCCAAGAAATGTATGAGACCAGATCAACTGGGATCAAATGTGAAATTCATGGTCCCGGCGGCCAGTCTATCAACAGCTCTTTACAACTGCTTCTCAGTGTAATTAGAAGATTTAGACATGATTATAATTAATGATGATTATTTGAAGATGAAGAATGAAGATATTGATAATATTTTCTGTACAGTGTGGTTTTCCATACACTGTGGCGCACTCACTAGAGAGAGTGAGTAAGCATGGCACGGTTAATAACCTGAAATTACTGTTGACACAACCCTAATCCCTGCATAACCTTGACATGCATCCCCTTTTCCCCGCAGCTTCGTAAAGCAGCGCTAAAAAGAAACATGACCGGATCTGTACGGAGTACATTGAGGGCCGCGAGAAGGCCAGCCTCGTTCAACCTACACTTTACATGCTATTTAGGACAATGACATTCTAGCAACCACGCCGCGTCAGACATTGGCAGAAAACGACAAAAATGTCCAGCAGGGCACCGAAGATGGCGAGGCAGTCGGTACTGCAGTGCCAGCCACCGTCGAAGAAGAGACCCCATCGCGTTCTAAACTCCGAACCCTCATGATTACCATCGCGTTATATATGGGTCATGTTCATCACCGCACTAGACCAGACAGTCGTTGCGACCGCAATACCCACCATCACCCACGACCTGCACTCCGCAGCGGGCTACACATGGATCGGCGGCGCCTACTTGCTCGCGAGCGCGTCGTGCGGAACCATATGGGTCAAATGTAGCGACATCTGGGGCCGAAAACCCCTCATCCTCGTCGCAGTGTTTGTGTTTGCTGTGGCGAGCCTTAGAGCTGTCCTGAGCATCGACATGCCTATGCTCATCGCTGCACGGGCGCTGCTGGGAGTTGGATCTGGAGGGCTCATGCAGCTTGTTGCTGTGGCAATTGCTGATATGTTCAGCTTGCGCGATAGGTCCTTTTACTTTGGCATCATGGGCGCTGTCTAGGCCATTGCTGGCGGTGCCGGCCCGCTGATTGGAGGTGCCTTTGCCGAGTATGTGACTTGGCGCTGGTGCTTTTGGATCAATCTCCCTGTTTGCGGACTTGCAGAACTGTTACTCTTCTTGTTTCTGGACCTTCACAACCCACGAACTCCGCTACGGAAGGGTCTTGGCTGTGGTGGACTGGTGGGGATCTTTCTCGATTCTCGCCGTGGTCATCATGATTTTGCTCGGCCTCAATCTCGGCGGAGCAACATTCCCGTGGAGCGGCTCAACTGTTATATGTCTCCTGGTGTTTGGTTCGGCCTCAATTGCACTGTTTCTGTATAGTGAGTTGCGTCTTGCCAGATACCCGCTCATGCCGTTGAGCGCCTTTCAGCGAGTGTCTAACATTTCTGTCATCATCGTGGCCTTTGGACATAGCATGGTAGCAACCGGCACCGAATTCTACTTGCCTCTGTATTTTCAGAGCGTCCAAGAAGCGTCACCGCTTCGCAGTGGTGTCCTACTTCTTCCTTATGTCTTGGCGGCAGCAGCAGCTGACTTTGTCGGCGGACTCATCATCCATCGGACCGGCAAATATTTGATTCTCCTCCAGATGGGTTGTGTGCTCATGACGTTGGGTACTGTCCAAATCATTGCAGCAGTAGGCATGGCCCTTCTTTTCCAGACGCCCATGCTGGCTGTGCAAAACTCAGTACATAAATCAGATGTCGCGTCAGCTACATCCACTTTGTCATTTCTTTGCAGCTTAGCATCCTCACTAGCTGTTGTTATTGGGGGCTCCATATTCCAGAACAGCAGAACAGCATCAACACTAGAGCTTCCGCACTGGCAGCGGCTGGCCTCAGTGGATCTCTGCAGAACAGCCTCAACAGAGGGAACACTGCTGCAAATGTGGAGATCATCAGAAACATCACCAACTCTACACAACTTGAAGCTGTGAAAGAAGCTTACACCTATAGTACCTGATGCATCTTCATCTTCTTTACCGCGATCGCAGGGTTGACACTACTGCAAGCAGGTGAATGAAGATGTAAAGTATAAGAAGACTCAGTTGATCTTCCTTGAGTGTTGAACGTAGCAGGTAGTAGTGAGATGGTGTCATAAACCTTACAGAGTGAATTTTAGTTTGTTGTAAATTACAACAAAGTCTCATTATCAGACTCTCTTATTAGCTCTTCAGATGCAGTAATAAAATTATGATCTCTCCACTTTCTTGCCTGACAACAGTTTACGGAATTGGAGAGTCGGATCTACGCGACAGAGACACAGATTAGAAGGAACAGATACAACTGAAACCGTGAAATATACAACATCAGCCACACCTCTGATCATTCATTTTTGAATCCTGATCCTGGCTCATCCGCTCATAGAAACTGTTCCAACAAATGGATGGGTAGAAGTAGTAAAGTCATTTACAAATGCATGTGATTTCAAGGAGGTATTGGTGCCCCAGCCCTGGCAGAGTTCCTAAATACATCTATAAATGTATGTGTTGAAAGGAGTGTGACCCAAGAAGAAGTTCGAGCTGAAAAGGGGTTGCAGGCCCAAAGGGCATGTGAGCTGAAAAGAAAAAAGGGCAGGCCAAGATGGAAGCACCAAAGAACCCAGTGAGGCTTGCTTGGCTTGGCTTTCACTCAGCAATCAACAAGTAGAACCTCCAACTCCTCCGCCTCTTTCCAACCACTCATGATTTCAATATTAGATGTGAGGTTGGCCATAAAAATTTCTACCTAGTAGCTCTTGACAACACTGGTGATAACCTGACAACACATTCCGCAGGTTGCAACCAATGAGGGGAAGGCATTCTGGGCAATACCATACCAGTGTCCACACAGAAGGGTCCTCCACTCTGGTGGGATGGTACAACAGATCTGACATTGACACTGATGCTTCAGTAGGTCAACACCTCCGCAGGTGCAGGATCAAAGACAGGTGAGGGCTGGATAAGACAGCACAGCATCATCCCTGGCAAGGGGGGGAATACCTAGGTAGAGAAGGTAGAGAAGGGGGCAGTGCACGTGAGCACGAGCGTCAGAGGCAGAGGCCAGGGCAAGGGCAAGAGAGAAAGAGAAATGAAGAAGGAAGGAGAAAGTGTGTAGTCATTGCGAGGGGCGCGCGATGAGTTTTTATTAGATCGCGGCATCTGTTGAAGCGGCGTGAGAAGGCGCAAAAGCGGCGAGGGGGCGGCCATCCCCGAAATGGCAACAGTGCTGCTGCAACGGGCCTCGCGCGCAATGTAGACCAATGGCGACTGCACTCAGCGGGCTGGGCGCCCCGCTAACCGACAGAAAAGGTACTTCTCACACATCTATTTTCTCTGACAGATACAAATCTAACAAGATAAGAGATATCGATATAATTCTCTGACTTACATATATATATATATCTTTTATAAAGAGAAGTAGAGGTGAGTATACTACTGATTTACAAGTTATATTCAAAGTTTAGAAAATGAAAATCAAGATAAAAGTAAAGAAAGACTAAAAAAATAAGTTGTGATAAATATGATTATTCTATTATTTTTAAATTGATATTTAATTTTCACAAACTCTGATTTTTTTCTTAAAACTTTAATTAAATATACTGATCAAATATGTGGCGGGCTGCGCCCGATCATATAGACTATTCCATTACACTCCATAGATTCCTCGGCCCGAAAGCTCTGATTCTCGGTCGCCGATCCTCGGCTGAGGAACCCACGGAGTTCCTATTCTCCCGCTCCGAAGCTCCAACCTCGTACGCGTTATAAATATCCGCTCCGATCGCTGATTCCCGCACTTTCTCTTTTTTTCCTTCTCTAACGTTTTCCACTTTTGTTATATAAGACCTATATCTTAATGCCGATCTATTCGGCGTAGGCCCCTTACACTTGGAAAACGTTCATCGTCTCCTCATTAGGAACGATTACCCATCGAAAAAGATATCCGAACGCGTAACGACGTGTAATAGTAAAGAAACGAACGACCAGCTAAGCGGACACCGAGTCCCTGCTAGATAGATAGAAGCTTGCTCGCCAGTCGCCCTGGCCCCACAACAAGATCTCACAAGAGAACGTCAGCGAAAGACCCGAGAGTCCTGACACCTTAGATGTATGAGATATTCATACGATTACACTTCCGATTCCGAAGAACCCTCAAACGCAGATACCACACATCCGACGAATGATACAGCTATGTCTACTGATAATATGGGTGAACCCTCGAACGCGAGCATAGACACAGTGCCGCAGTGGCTCCGAGCAATGTTGGAATTACAACAGCAACAGATAGCTGATATCCACGCAAACCAACAACGCCAATACGAGGAAATCCAACGATTAACTCGACAAGGAACCCCTGCACAGACAATTCCAACACCGACAGAATTGAATATGAACACAATGCAAGCGCCGAAGGAACGCTTAGGTGCTCCCACATATTTCGATGCTTCTGACCTCACTCTCTACCCATCATGGAGGTTGGAAATGCTCGCGAAACTAAGTGTAGATGGAGATGCCATCGGTTCGTTAACTAATCAAGGTTGGTATATCAATGGTCGATTGAAAGATCGCGCGAAACAGAAGTTCCATCCATGGATGGAGGCATGTGAACCAGCGTTACGTACGCCTGACAACATCATCAAACATCTTGATGTCCTCTTCCGAGACACTGCTATGCAACAGAAGGCATTAGATTGGTTACAGAGTGTCCGACAGAGGAATACTCCTCTCACAACATTCATCTCTGACTTCAACACCAAGATTCTAGAAGCAGGCGGCCAATCTTGGGAGGATCGAATGAAGATTAGCATGCTCAAGAAGGCACTGACTTTTGAACTGTTACAAGCCCTCATAAGTGTTGACAAAGCCCCGACTTATGAAGGCTTCTGCATACAACTCCGAACATTGGATGACCGTCCAACCTGGACCCCAGGCTCCGCGCTATCCGATACAGCAGCTCTTGACTGATGGGAACTGCACTCGCTTCCAGAAAGGAAGGGCTAATGTGGCGGGCTGCGCCCGATCATATAGACTATTCCATTACACTCCATAGATTCCTCGGCCCGAAAGCTCCGATTCTCGGTCGCCGATCCTCGGCTGAGGAACCCACGAGTTCCTATTCTCCCGCTCCGAAGCTCCACCTCGTACGCGTATAAATATCCGCTCCGATCGCCGATTCCCGTACTTTCTCTTTTTTTCCTTCTCTAACGTTTTCCACTTTTGTTATATAAGACCTATATCTTAATGCCGATCTATTCGGCGTAGGCCCCTTACAAAATAGATGAAAATAATTTATACTATACATTGACTTATATTATCTTTCTCTAAAATCTTTTCAACTTCATCTATACTTGAAAGAGATAAGAGACAGAGACAGGCATTGATGTGATATGAAATAGAAAAATAGTAAAAGTGAGAGAGAAGCAGTGATGATGATCTTAAGAGATAAGTAATTAAAATCAAAACAGACACTTTCAATAGTTTCTGTTTGTCTGTGAAGAATCACTGATGAGTATGCAAAAATAAAATGAACTCAAATAAAAATAGTTGAATATATATTTATAGATGAGTGTCAAAAAAATTACAAGGCAAGTTTATATTTTCAGCCCTCAACGTGCTTCATTTCCACTTGCGGTTCAAAGGGTAATAACAGTGAAGGCAGACGAGGAAAGAGAAAGAAAAATAAAATAAAATAAAATAAAAAATAAAGCCAAGGTGACTAGCTACGCGGACCGGGCCGCAAAGTTGGCACCCCTGCAGATACGTGTGAATGTGTAGGCAGCGGTATAAAACAAAATATGAGAGGGAATATAATTAGTATATAAAATATATGCAGTAGAAGCAAAATATGTATAGACAAAAGAAAAAAGAAAAAACAGGCAGTAAGTCATGGGTCAGAAGAAAGGAAATGAAAAGGAAAAGGAAGAGAAAAGGAGGAAATAGGCGAAGTGTAAATATAAAAAGAGGTAATAAAATATAATATATCGGATTTGATAACCGGCGGGATTGGGAAGAAGTGTGGTTAAAAGAAAAGAAAAGAAATGGAGGAAATAAGACAAGGAGGAAATAGTCACACGCGGAAAAGGAAAAGGAAAACGAGTAATTAGAAGTAAATATGATATTTGGGGTATCTTTCAAGAGTCGTTATGAACGTTAGTTGCAGCAGTGGATTTCTTGCGCCCGAAAATGCTCCGAGTGCGTGATTTGGTGGGTAGCGGCTTCTTGTCCTGGCCAGGTGCAGCGGAGTTGAGGCTCGGCGTCGGTAGCATCGTGTCATCGCCTGACATATATTTGGGTTTGTAAATCCTAAAAACCTATATGTTAGCCCATTATTGATTTTACCTAGAGAGAGGCAGATGCGTAAAGAGAATAGAAGAAGGATCAACAGAACGTACCAACTGTTCCCAACCATGCTCATCCCCTTGCTTTCCGCCATTCGGTAGTATTTAGCCGCTTTTTTCAGGTCCTTTTTGCAGCCCAGACCCTCCACATAACAAAAGCCAGCTTCTGCAAGAGCATCCACATCTCCCCAGTGGCCTGCTATTTCGAAGCAGCGCAGAGCCAGCGCCTTGTCTTGCTCTATCCCCCAGCCATTCAGGTGGCTAACGCCCAACTCATAAATGCTTAGTGCAAATTGCGCCTGGCGGGCTTTGTCCTCTTGGATATTTCTCCCGTGTGGTTCAGAGCTGTTAGCTTCTAGAATGGCAGAATCGGCAGCTTTACGGAGCCACTGAACGCCTTCTCGCTGGTTGGGCCGCATGCCCCATCCATGGCGACAGGCGAGAGCGTATAAAAGCATACCCGTTGGCTCATTTTGCATGGCTGCGATTCGAAGGTGATAGGTGGACTCGTTTAGGGAACCGTTTTCATGACATTTTATGCCTTTTGCAACATGATCTTCAGCGGATAGGGTAGTGGCTGGTGGAGGTCCGACACTACGGCTAGTGTGGGGTCGAAGTGTGGCATTGGAGTCCGTGGATATCGTTAGGGTGTCATCTTGGGCTTCCGATTTGGGGGCGATAGAAAGTCTACTACTCGAGTTAGATTTTGCCAGGGCCAGAGTTTTTCGGGTTCCTTGATCAAAGGAGTGTCTTTTTGGAGGTGTTCGATCAGGCCGTTTAACAAGCTTGCCTGGTTTCCGTGGAGCGTATTCATGTTTCAGTGAGGCCGTACTTTTCAACTTTCGTTCCGACTCCGTTGGTGTCTTCGGTTTTAACGGCGATTCCTGCTTCGGCGGTGCTTCAGTAGCAGGAGGGTGAGCATGGGTTGCGGAAGGTGACGGAGGAGTCTGCTCGAATGTCTCTCTCCCAGCCGCGCTTGGGGGTGGGGAGCTTTCGAAAAGTGGCTCATTCCACTCGAAATGTGGAGTTTGAAGGCCAGTAAACACGAGAGAATTACGTGAAAGAGATCTCCCCCGGGGAAGAGCATACTTCGCATAGATGTAAGTGGTTGGCGCCGAAGTTTGAGCATCGTCAGCTGGAGAATCAGACAACTTTGGCACAGTAATTGGAGATGGGCGATTCCCCCGGTTCATAGTCCGGGATTGATATTCATCTAGTTGTTCATGCCCGGAAAGTGAAGGGGATGGCATTGAAATGGTAGTGCTAGATCTACTCAATGGCCGTGAAAAGTTGAAGGAAGGACGTTGAAGTGGGTTTGGTATGGGGGAATTTTCGGAAGCTGAAGAAGGCGATTGGGGATGGGGTCGGGTAAAATGTGTCACGGGAGACTGAGGCATGGACATTCCGCTGCTTGAAGACAGCTTTCTTGGTTTTGAGTAGGTTGACCCTGCTGTTGAACTGGTGAAGTAGTCGTCGTCTGAGCTCTCGTGCTGTGGCAGTCCAGGGCTCCCTGCTGACCGTTTAGCAGAGGAACTTGGAGGTGCAAGGTTATTCGAAACATTTCGTTTCGCAGCGGAACTCTCAGCTGCTTCCCGGGTCCGGGTCGCTGATGGGATATCATAAGGATCTGGGGATGGCTTTGTTGGGAGTTCTTGTTCGGTCTCTCCATCTGAGTGGAACCACGATGCGTCCTCGGGTGATTCTGCACGGGGGGGATCCCCAAAAGCGCTGGCTGGGATTGGCGGAACGTCTGGGGCCGCTGCTGTGGTATTGCGTTCGTGGTCACTGTCCGGATCTGAAGCCAGATTCTGGCCTGGTAGTCGACTCAGCATCGGATGCTGCGAGTTTGGCCTCACTGCAGGCTCCTCCACTTCTCCATTGCGACCATGACTCCTGCCTTCTGGACTGACAGGTGTCGTATTACTCGACTCGCCGGAGGAATGTGCTCGGTAGTAACCCGGTCTTGGTTGGGATAAGGATCTGGCAACGCTTGCGGGGGGCAACCGGCTCATGCGCCTTCCGCTTTTTTTCGACTCATCGAGCTGTTTGGCCAAAAGCCGTCCCTGCAAGGCAAATGCATCGAGAGGCGACAAGACAGGAGTGAGTTCTCCGTGAAAATGGGCGATGCGGGGAGATGGAGTCAGATTTCGCGATCGCGGTTTTTCCAGCTGCTGCAATGGGGAATCAGATGGGCTATTGCTAGCCATGGCTGGTTAACGAGCGTCTATGTCAAAGGATTGAATAATAATCGGAAAGGTAGAAGTGGTTTGTATTAAACCATAGATCAGTCAACGAAAATCTGCGTGGCTAAGGAGAGTCGAGGTGAAGTTGTTGTAAAGAGGGAGGCGCCAAAAAGCGAGATTTAGGGGCATGTGGTTGGTTGATCCTCGACTTCAACCACATTAGGTCACTGGAGATGATTCTGCTGTGGCACCATCTGGAGAAACAGGTTTATTGGTGGGAGAGATAATTCTATATATATATACGGAAGAAAGACAGTCTCTTCGATGGGGTTTGGGCGAATGCCGGGCCAGTTGGATGTTGGTTGGTGGGTTGGTCTTTTTGAAAGGGCGGACGATGGATCGCGCCGCGAGCTAAAATAACAGAGAACGGAAGCCTCCCGCAAGTGAGCTACGAGATACCGGCTGTGGAGATGTAACACAAGTACAGGTGCAGCGGCCAGTGACTTATAACTCTAAAATGCAGTCTGAAATGCAAAGTCGACGATGGGTGAGGGGGTTTGGATGAAGTTGGGGATAGACCGGATCAGGATGAAGACGACGAAGGTTGAGGCGAGGTTATTTAGTTAACTAGCCAGAAGGTCGCAAAGCGCCCGTGTTGTCCGGTCTCGAATTGACCAAATTACAGCGTAATCAATCAAACCAACCAACCAACCAACTGTTGGCCCTTACGGCCGTTGCGGTTAGCGATCCCACTAGATCACGTGACCCACCACTATATTATGTTCCTGTAGATAGATCTATCAATACAACCTTCAACTATCCTACAGGTTATAGCCCGGATGGCACATTTTTTTAGAACATTGCACCAACATTTTTGACATGAATAGTTCACCTTTTTTGAAAAGACTCTTACTCTTTATTAGAGATATTTCATTTTCTCTGAATCTGTCAGTCAGTAGATTCATATCTTTATATTTTTAAGAAAGTGCATTCTTCATTGTGAAGAATATCACTTTTTTATTTTTTTTACACATCTAGAAGAAGTAGAGCCATCTTAATATAAGTGATACATCTGTTACTTCAGAGTTCAGCTCAAGGTTCAGAATCACACACTTCACTAGACAACTTATTGATAGAATAATCACTTATTATGAGAAAGCTTCTGACTTACAAGATGAGACTGAGATTAGTTTTCACCAGAGTATGAAATTTAATGATAATGAGATAATGAAGAAACTTCAGAATAAAGAAAAGCAGAGTTAATATTCATCTACAGAATCTGTTCATTTTAACTTTTTAAATTCTTCATCATTTCTCATCTCTGAAATACTGACTTTTAATAATGATTTGAATCAATCTATCTATTACACTGCAGACAATCTTATGAATCTTATACAGATAATACTACAGAACTAGATAACTGTGACTGAAATTACTTAACATCTCACTATATCTGTCTCTATATAAAGAGACATTACAAGAGATGAGTTACAGAAATACTAGAAGAAAGTTAAATATGCACTAGATATTAAATCAGTGATTATATTTAATAACTCTAATTATAAAGCCTGATGTATTGATATGTTAACTGATATAGAAGTTATTAATGAAATTAACATTCTATTAAAAACTTAATAAGAATTCTCTTTTATACATTATATTAACTCTGAGAAGTGAAGAATCTGTTTCAAGTCTCTATATAGATGTATGCTATTAAGTCTTGTTGAAAATGTTTAAACTACTATTGAAATCTTGAAAGCTGACAATACTGCAGCTCTGTGAGACAAGATCAATGTGAAATATATAATATCACTGACTGAAGAATAAGTTATTATTATTATTATTATTCTTCAATTATAGATGTATACAGTCAGAGACTATAACATCTATCTGAGAACTTTAATTCTCAGAGTTTTTTCTATGTCTGTAAAGTTAACTATTATACATTCATCAATTTCAGATATATAAAATCAGAAAATTCCAGCTCAGAATATAAAAACTGTTTATAAATTGCAGTATTTTAACATCTTTTAATACTTTGAAATCATTTGACAATATCATGATAAAAGAAAAGAGAAAAAGAACACAGTCTCAAAGATAGACACATTAAATAGATAGATAGAAAGAAATTGAAAGAAAAAGATAAAGAAAAAGATAAAGTAAAGAGAGACTATAATAAAACAAATTATTAAAAGAGAGTATATAGCTGTTTTAACAGACTATATCTGATTGATTTTCTTCTCTTCATATTCAGATAATTCTGAATTTAGTCATTTTCTTATAGCTGCTTGAGTTTCTGATAGAAAGTCTATTAAGTATTTAATTTCTGTCTCAGTTGAGAATAAGAATCTCATATTTAATTGATTTAGATTATACTTCTCTTTCAATCTAGCTCTGAGACTATTGTATAATACACAGTGCATTATAATATACTTAGAATTCTTATTTATATTGCAGAATGAGCATTCTATTGAGTCAAATCTATCATCAAATCTTTGTATATAAGATTTGAAATAGTCATATTCTAGTTTCAGCTGTATTATAGATGAGAATATTTTCTTTTTATATTTAATTGAACAAGATTTTTACTTGAGTTTTGTTTCAAATCTTGAGTAATGTATACTCTTCTTTTATTTCTACCAGCTTTCATTTCACTTATCTAAACAAGATTCTTTTATTTTTCTCTTTATAAAAGATCAGAATATAATTTTTTGAATAGATCTGCTTAATTCTGTACTCTTTTTTACAGCTGAATCAGTCAATTCATTAACATGAATATTCATATAAGCAGAAACTCAGTGCAGATAAATTATCAGCTTTAATATTCTTCTCTTTTGAATTTTTAAAACAGAGTTTAAGATCAGTTCAAGATTCATTTAATTATTATAAATCTGACTATTTTTAAGTCTTTTTAAAGCAGCTTGACTATCAGAGAATATTTATATCTCTTTCAAATAATTTCCTCTTTTATAAGATTTTATTTCAATGAGTTTGAAAGCTTTCACTATTATAAATAGTTCAGTATCAAAGACTTCATATTCAGAGTCTAGATTTCAGAAATCTGAGATAAAATTAATATTATCTTCAGTATAAGCAATGTCTGTGTCTAATCTATTCAAGTTCTCATTTTTTGAGTTATCTGAATAAATCAGAATAGAGTCTTTTATATTAATTATAGAAATTCTCTTCAAATGCTGTTTATATTCTTTCTCTTTTAATAGTTCACTTATTTATAAGTTTATAAGAGATTCAAGCTTTTCTCTTCAGAGAGATAACTTCTCATGATTAACTTTTTCAATATTTAAAGAAGAAAATTAATTTTTAATCAGAGAGTATAGTCTGTATAGTTGAGAAGACATTTTCTTTGAAGAATTATTTTCATTTCAATCAAGAAATCTATTTCAATTCAGTTCATTTTCAGAGTTAATTAATGAAAATAAAGAAGAGACTCTTTCTCTGATTATATGATTTAAGCTTATCTTTACAACTCTCAGAGCATAGTTTATACAGGTCTTTTCAAATCTAATAATAGAAGAAGGAATTGAAGCTTCAATTTTCATTGCTTTAATAGAAGATGATTTGAATACTCTCAGAATTCTTCTCAAGACTCTGTTTTACAGACTTTGAAAGAGTTCAGTGAAATTCTCTTAATTATTTCATTAAACTTGAACTTTATAATCAGCTACTGATGTAATACAGACTATATATAACTGTCTCATAGTCTGAAAGAATAGACTTCTCTCTGTATTTGATAGTCTGATTATATTATTTAATAGTCTTTCTGTCTTAACAGTTCTTTATTGAATATGATATTTAAAATTCAACTTGAAGTTTAATCATACTTCTAATTATTTAATATTTACACTGAGTTTAATCTCTCTGTTTAAAAGAGTTAAAGATAGTTCTTTCTCATTGAATCTAGAAAAGAAATGAATTAACTCAGTTTTATTCATATTAAATTAAATTTAATTGATATCTGTTCTAACAAAGATTTTCTTTGCAGCTTCTTTAATTACTTTCAAATTCTCTTTAATAGTTTTTGAGCTGTAGACTAGATCAATATCATTCATATAACTCAGAGATTGTACTATTCTCATATTTCTATTTTTAAATAGATATACAGTGTATATTACAAATAAAATGAGTGAGATTGAAGATCTCTGTAATACTTCTATTTTTATCTCAGTCTTATCTTATTTCATTTCATTAAAGAAGAGTTGTATAATTCTTTTAAATATAAAATAGTTAACTTATTTTATTAGAGAAAGTGACAGTTTTAATATCTTCAATGTCTGAATTAACTTTAACTTTAAAACATGATTAAATGCTTCTTTTATATTAATAAAAACTGCAGTTGAGACCAGACTCTCATACTTTGCTATTTAAATATCATGAATAACTGAGAGAACAGTGTTAATTATAGAACACTGTTTTCTATCTCTCATTTATTCACTGAATAAAAGAGAATCATTTATAGAGCTTATAAAAGATAGTTGAGTAGCTATTATCTTTTCTAAAACCTTTTCTAGACAGTTCAATAGAGATATTACTCTATATAACTTAGAAATTGAAGTTTTTCTATTAGATTTTATAAGAATCACTTCAGTGGCTTCTCTTCAGCATTCAGAATGATATTCATTTTTCAAGAGATTGAAAAAAAGCTCAAAATATTCATTCTTCAAGTAGAAATATGTATTTTGAATAATTAAGTGATTAATTGAATCAGAATCTACAGCAGTTTTAACAGAACTTGAGAAGATAGCTGACTCTAATTCATCTTGTGTAAGATCAGATCATTTTCAGTCATTTTCATCAATATAGTTAAGAAGTGATATATTCTCTTTCTCTGAATCTGAATCTGAATCTGATGAGTTCTGAAAGAGAATTCTCATAAGAGCTTGACATTTTTTCTTAAAAGAGTTTGCTGTATATAATTCATTCTGAAACTCATATTCTAAGACTGGAAGTTTTGCTACACTTCTTGTTTTAGTATAGTTAAAAGCTTTAAAAACTTCCTTCTCTTATACTTCTTTAAGAAATTTTTTTCAGCAGTCTGTTTTAACTCTTTTAATATCTGAAAAATATTCATTTCTGACAGCTTTGAACTCTTTATCAGATATTATATCATTCTTTCAATCTCTTCTAGCAGTAGCTAATTCTTTTCTTTTAGATAAGATATTCTCATTTTATCAAGATTTTAAATACTCAGAAGATTTTCTTTTTAAAATATTATCTCTAACACTTGTTAGAATAATAGATGTAATAAGCTTCACTCTATTCTTAAGCATTTCATTTGAGATATCTTGATCAGAATTTCAATATAGCTCATTCTGTCTTTCAGATTTTAACAGTTTTATACTTTCTTTAACTGCTTTTCAATCAGCTTTTTCAAAGTTATACTGATTAGAGAGAAGAGAATTTTCACTCATTTATTTTTTACTCAGTTTAATATCAAATTGAATAATCTCATGATCTGATTCTCATGTCTCATTTGAATCAATAAATCAGTTTACAAGTCTTCTTTTCATTAGATTTTATGATATAAAGATTAAATCTATAATAGACTTCTGTTTCATATCTTTTCTAAAGAATGTTTATTGATC